CAGCTAGCCCCGCAGTATAAAAGCTAACTTGCAGTCCTGGGCGGCAGAACTTCTGGGGCCCCTGTTCTGGGACCCTTGAACCTCACCCAGGCGCGCTCTCAATAAACGCTACAGCTGTTTCTTAGCATCTATTTGGCCTCATTACTCTTCTTCTGCCACCACAAAACGTACAATTAGCAACTTAAATTTTACATTAGACTCAACAAATGAGGTCTCGGCATAATACTTCTGAGATGCAAGAAAGCTCCAACTTAAAAACTCATTGCACAGAAACCCAGGGGCAATATTGCCAGGAATTACTCAAACATACTGGCAGTTACGATTTCAGAAGATCATTGAAATTTGCCCTTCCTTGCTGTTTTAACAGGTACTGCTCCACCCAAAATTTCATCACCCCCTTCTTGGAGTGATCTTACTCTTTATGGAGATGAGCCGGAACTTAAGCCTACGGCCTGGCAGTTTGAGTCAAGCCAGCACAGTCACGGGTCTCTAGGTTGCAGTTCCAGGAGCATTATTCACACTGCCTTCTAAAATGGAGCTCAAGTTTGTGGAATGTTTTTACTAAGAATACTTAACTATTTTTCAGTAAAAATGCATGAAAAGGATGATAAGGCTTTTAGGGAATGGGTTTTAATTCATCCCACTTCTCAAAGGAGGACTTGCTGGAGATAGGGGAGGCATAGTGGTTAATAGCCTGGGCTTTGGAGTGAGACAGTGGAGTTCCAGAGTCTGTCCAGCTGTGTGACCCTGGGCAAGTTAATTCACCTCTCTGAGCATCAGTTTCCTTGTCTGTAGAATGGAGATAATGATTACCTCCTAGGCTTGTGAGAACTAAATGGAACATGTATGTGGAGTATTTAGCTCAGTGCCTGGGGTATATGAAGTTAGTATTCCATAAATGGAAACTAGTCATGTTTTCATTTCCAGATGTCTTAGCGACTCTAGCAACCATCCTTACATCTTGTGTCTTCACCTGCATTGTGAAAGATCTAGACATGCAAAGAGAGATGAAAAAAGTCAAACAGGATAAAAGGATACATCTGGATACAGCATAATCAGATTCGTTGGCAATATTTGAAATAGTTGAGACGAAAACTCTCATCATTATAACCCAGCCAGGTTGGGTACTTGGGTACTTTTTTCTTCTTTCCTTTCCTAATGTAAAACGTGGTCCTCGGTGGACATGTTGGCGGGTGATGCTAGCCGGTCTCTCCGTTGCATAGTCTACTTCTGACTGAGCCCTTCATCTTCTCCTGCACATGCGATTGTCCTCTTTGCATGTTCCGTGCCTTGGTCTTGTCATTTCCTAAGTCAGAAAGACTCCCTCCCGCCCAGGCCCTTTGTCCAGCAATCCCCAGCTCTAGTCAGTTGCACTGCCTCCCCCGCCTCCGCCTGCCGGGCCTGCACCCCCGGCTCGGGTCACGGTCATCTTCCCCTGAATAACAGCAATAGCTTTCCCTGCTTCCTCCTCCCACCATGTGGCATTAGTCACATAACAGCCACATGTTTCTTCTCAAAGGCAAATCTGATTATGCTGTTTCCTTAATTAGAACCCTTCAGTAGCTTTCCATTATCCTTAGAACATGGTTCTCACTCTTTTTTTTTTTTTTTTTTTTTGAGACAGAGTCTCGCTTTGTTGCCCAGGCTAGAGTGAGTGCCGTGGCGTCAGCCTAGCTCACAGCAACCTCAAACTCCTGGGCTCAAACGATCCTCCTGCCTCAGCCTCCCGAGTAGCTGGGACCACAGGCGTGCACCGCCATGCCTGGCTAATTTTTTCTATATATATTAGTTGGCCAATTAACTTCTTTCTCTTTATAGTAGAGATGGGGTCTCGCTCTTGCTCAGGCTGGTTTTGAACTCCTGACCTCGAGCAATCCACCCGCCTCTGCCTCCCAGAGTGCTAGGATTATGGCGTGAGCCACCGCGCCCGGCCAGTTTCTCACTCTTTAACACGGCTCACAAGCCCTCTCTGACTTGGCTCCTGTCGGGTTCTCCTGGGGTGCCTTTTTCTCTTGCTTCCTTGCTTATGTGGGAAGCCCCTCCCTGTGTGTCCATCTGCCTGGCTGGTTCCTCTTGATCCTTCAGGCCTGTTGTGGACTGAATTGCGCCCCTGCAAATTCATATGTTGGAGTTCTAACCCCCAGTACCTCAGAATGTGACTGCATTTGGACATAGGGTCATTAAAGAGACAATTAAGTTAAAATGAGGTCATCAGGGAGGACTGTTATTTAATATGGCTAGTGTTCTCATAAGAAGAGGAAATTAGGGGACAAAAACACCGAGGAAAGACCACGTGAAGACAGAAAGTAGATGGGATGACGAGCCAGGGGCAGAGGCTTTGGCAGGAACCACTGCCACACCTTGATCTCAGACTCTGGCCTCTAGAATTGTGAGAAAATAAATTTCTGTTGTTTAAGCTACCCAGTCTATGGTACTTTGTTATGGCAACCCTAGCAAACTAATACAAAGCCTAAGCTGAGATGTCACTTCCCCTGGGCACATCCCCACACCTTCAATGTCTGTGAGCTCCTGCTGTGTCCTCCTGTGGCACTTTGTAATTGCACTTACTCTATCAGAGCTCTTACTGTCTATTGGAATTGCCACCATGCACACCTGGCTAATTTTATTAAAATTTTTTGTAGATAGGGTCTCACTATATTGCCCAGGCTAGTCTCGAACTTCTGGCCTCAAGAGATCCTCCAGTCTTGGCTTCCCAAAGTGCTGGGATTACAGGCTTAAGCCACTGCACCGGGCCTGTTTGGGTTTTTTTTTTGGTTGTTCATTTTTGCTTTTGGCCTGCACCCCCTATCTAAACTATCTAAGCTTTATTGGTAGGGGACTGTCTGTTTTACTCACCATTTCATCCCCAGTGCCTAGCATAATGTCTTTCTTACACATTCCAGGCATTCAATAAATAAATAGTTGAATGAATGAATGAACAGATTGGGGAGAATTAAAATCCTGGAGGTTAAACTACTATTATCCAAAAGTCAGCTAGACCTTAGAGACCCAGGGTGTAATTTTGAGGCTTTCCCTGCATATTGAGTACTAGAGATCAGGTTTAAAAGAATATTAAACAGGTTACAGTTCTCAGCACAAATCATAGAAGCATCTATCTGCTGCTGCTCTGCTTATGCAGCAACCCCTAAACAAAACAGGGGACGGGAGAGGCACGGCATTGCTGATCGAGATAAACCACTATATAACTCCAAATGGAGGTAAAAATTACTGATTCAGACATAAGAAAATCAAGTGGTTATAAGTGAAGCGAGGCCCAGATTCAGCAATGACAGTGGCTCTCTTACCCTTCACATCCATAATTCTTCCCTATATATGGCTGGGACCGGTACCCTTCCTCCTTCTGAGCGCCTCATCTGGCCTGCAAACCTATGCGAGAAGTTGGGGCTATTAGATTTCCCATGGAAAAAAAAAGAGACAGAGCAGAGCCTAGAGACAGAGGATGGAGTCAGAAATGATCAAGTCCAGACAAACAGTCAGACCAGATTTTTACTCAAGTGGTTCTTGATGACTCAGTCTGTGAACCAGGACATTCATCACCTGTCCGCCATAGCCAGGTTACTTCCTGGTTCTGTGGCCAGTTGTGGGGAGAAAGTGCAATTATAATACTGCCTCTTCTTTGAATCCGTAATTAGTATACACGTGGTTTGCAAAATACTTTTATTAAGCACATTAATATCTGAGAATTAAAAAAAAAGATAATACATTTTCCATGGGACAGATGCCAAATTTAATTAGTACAAAGGATTTCTTTGGTGAGCAACGAAGCCCAACCAGAGACTGAGATGATCTCAGGAGATGTTTCTTTTCTTTATTATTTTCATTGTTGAAGATTCCCTGGTCTTGTTTTTTTGAAAACCACTCTACCGAAATATAGAATATACCTAGTATACGAATTAAAACTTCAATAAATGCTTCCAAGTTTTTAAATAACGTCATTTCTCTGATTATGAAAATAACACATATACATTTCCCCCATTCAAGCTAGTGGTCAGTCTGTCTCAAGAGAGGGACGTTAAATGTCAGAAAGTGGAAGTCTGCAAGGCTTTCTGATTTCTGTTTTTAAGAGATGAAATTCTAGAATGAGGAGAGTGTACACAAGGCGTCTGCCTGAAATCAAAGTGAGACTTGAAAATATTGTCACGCTAAGGGGAAGGGAAGTGATGGAAGGGGCATAGATCTCTGAGGCCTGGAGCAAAGGAGGGTGGTAGCAAAGTCCTGAAGAGGAAGTAGCCTCAAGCTACGTCCAGGCATGTGGGATCCTGGGTTCCTCCGCTGACTTCACACGCTGGACAGGCTCAGGGGAGAGATGATGTGGCCAAATGCAGCAGGGCCCTGGCCCACTGTGGGCACCCAATGTGCCTGCCCAGAGGGCTCCCTAACAGTGAACGACTTCTTTATGGAGACGGGCATCTGCTTCTAGGCATAGTTTTAAGATGCTCATCACCAAGTATGGGTCTAAAAGCAGCCAGCTTCTTTCTGTCCTTCTGTACAATTTACAGACATTTTGCACGGACTGATCGTAAGTGTGAATTCCCAACGTTTTAGTCTCATAGCTGCTAGAACCAGCTATATGGTCATCAAGCTGATTGGTGTCTCGTGGTCTTAGGTGATCAAGGGTGGTTGGGGAGGACAAATGCACAGATCCATGTTGTGGCTGGGACTCTGGATTCTGACCCCGTGGAAGAAAGGACTAAGAGAAAGACAAGGAGAGGGAGTATCCGGAAGTCGCTGTTGCATGAGTAAGTTAGCTATCCTCATAGGGCAGAGTTAGTGGAAAACTGATGTTCTTTTACAGCAGAAAAGAGAAGTGAGGTTTTTGGGGGCTTTCCAAAGACAGGAATTTTGGAGGCTAGACAGGAAAATTCCTACACAGGAATTTTCAAGTTTAAGCAACTGAGGGCAGTGAGTGATTCTCAGACACAAGAGGACAATTCTGCAAATCTCTTTGCGGTGAAGGGAGTGGGGAGAGAAGGCTGTGGTAAAATTTGAAAACTCACATATATATTTGGAAGAACAAAGCTGTTTAGAAGATGTGAAATATTTTTAATTCTTATCTAACGGGGATGTAAGTAAATAAAGCTTGAGAAATTGCTTTAGGCTTTAGAAGAAGGGGCCAGAAAGTGAAAGTGGAGTATAACCCTAGTCCTACTGTTAGCTCCATAGGGAATCAACAGCAGTTTATTCAACACACAGAGACAGGGATCTGGAAGGGAGTTTAGAGAACACATCTAGCCCAGAGGTCAGCAGACTACAGCCCTGTAGCCAAATCTAGCCTCGATGCCTGTTTTTTCTTTTAAATAGCTCTCGAGCTAAGAATGTGTTTTACATTTGCTGCTTGCTCTTATTTAACTTTTTATTGAAAGAGAGGTGGTGGTCTCTGAAACTCTGCTTGTAACTGTCAGGACAGAGCCTGTCATCTTCACAGCTTTGTTCTTATCTCATGTACTGGTGTGTGCAAGTCTTGCACTCATTTTTATGTTGGGTTTTTGGTCTTTGTTTCCTTTGATTTCTAGAAATAATTTATATATTAGGGATATTGCTCATGATCTGTGATACACGTTGCAAATATTTTTCTCTCAGTGATTTGACATTGGCTTTGCTTTGGGTGGTTTGTGTGTGTGTGTGTGTGTGTGATATGATGATTTTTTATTTTTATGTAGTTAAATGTATTAGTTTTTCTTTTATTGAATCTAGACGTGGAGTCTTAGTTAGAAAGTCTTTCCTCAGGTTATAAATACATTCACCATCACTTCTAGTATTTATATGGTTTAGTTTCTTTTTTTTTAAGGCAAGCACGAGGTGAAATTTATTAAGGGGGAGCAAGGTAGGATTACAGAGCAAGAACAAGATATATATAGGTTTACAGAGCAAGGTACATATGCCACAGATGACGACCAGGCCCCTTGTCGTAGCAAAAGAGCTCATTTAAAAAAAATATTTAGATCTCTGATCCATTGGGAGTTTATTCTTGTGTGTAGTTTGAGGTATGGATCCAATTTTACCTTTTTCAAAATGGCTATCAAGTTGTTTTCATTCCATATATGAACTGGTCCTATTTGTACCAGTGATTTTTTTTTAGATGTCATAAGAATTTTTTTGTATTATATTCTAAATTTCCATATATGCTTAGGCTTAATCTGGACTTTGTATTCTTTCACCCAGATCTGTCTGTTCATGTGCCAATACTAAAATTTTATTACTTTATGATATATGATATGAGATTTTGATATATTTCAATAGCTGGTAAGGTATTCTTTTCTAATAGCTTTTCTTTTTCAGATTCTTAAAAAAGCTATTCTTGCACATTTATTTTTTCATATAATTTTAGTATCAACTTATCTGGTTCCAAAAAAGCTTATTCGTATATTTGTGGATAATCTTATTTAATTTACAAATTAACTTGGGAAGAACAGACACCTTTTAAATGTGAGTGATCCTATTCAAGAACATAAACTGTCTTTCCATTTGTTCAAGTCTATTTTTTGGCATTTTAGGAATCTTTAAAAATCTTTAAAAAATCTTCCTTATATTGATTTTGCACATTGCTTGTTAAGTTTATTTCTTAGAATTTATCTATTTTTGGTTGCTGTTATAAATAGGACTTTCTCCTCTACTTTAACTGGTTCCTGTGAGTGTATCTAAAGGCAATTGATTTTTGTATGTTTTATATCTTGCTAACTTCAGATTTTTTTATTGCTTTGTTAGTTTTACTTTGTTTCGCCAAGATTTTGAAGATATATTATTATGTCATTTATAAAATGCTAGCTTTAGGACTAAATGCATATATTTTATTGCTTTAAGAATGTTTATTATTCCTATATTCTTGAGTGCTTTTTTTGACATCAGAAATAAGTTTTGGGTTTTGTCATATGTTTTTCAGCATTCACAGAGATCATCATATGGTTTTTCCACTTAGATCTATTATTATGGTGCATTCTAGTAATTGATTTTCTAATAGTGAACCACCTTTGCATTCCTAGAATAAATCTCATTGGATCCAGTGTATTCTTAAAGTGGTATTGGATCCTGTTTACTAATATTTTGTTTTAGCATTTTTGTGCAATGCATGTGATACTGTTCTGTCATTTTCTTTGCAACATCTTTGTTGAATTTAGGGATCAAACTTATAACTTTAGGTGTTTTCTCTTCTCTAGGACAATTTATGTTGTATTAGGACTATCTGGTCTTGGAAGATATGATAGATTTTTTCTTTGAAACTGAACCTGGTGCTTTTTTGTGGGTAGTTCTTTGATAACTTTATTTCTTACTCGGGTATGTTCTATTTAAGTTTTTTATCTTTACTGGAGTCAATTTTGACAAACTGTATTTTAGTAGAAAATTATCCATTTCATCTAATGTTTCAAATATATTTGCATACTGATGTACGAAGTAGTCACTAAGGGTTTTAAAAACTATTTTCTCTGTTTCAATGGTTATTTCCTTTGTCATTTATTATTTTATTTGATTTATCTTTTTTTTAGTTTTTCAGAGAATAAAGATTTTTATTATTTCCTTTTCTTTTGGTTACTTTCTATTTATTTTTCTAGCTTGCTGAGCTGAGAATTTAATGCACTTACTTTCATTTTTTAATTTTTATTGCTGTGTTTAAGACTATGAATTTTCCTCAGATCACTTTTAAATGAATCCTATTGATTCAAATATATAGGTTTGCGGTCTTGTTTTTTGTGAATTTAATAATAATCTCAGGGAAAATAGTTTATATTTTCCCTTTCATTCAAGATTATTTAGTAGAAGATTTCTTACTTTCAAGGTGGAATGGCCTTTTTATTTTTTGATTTAGCCATTAATGACTAATTTTTATTGCATCATGATTATCTTAGATCTCTTATAATAGTATCCACAACCTTTCCTCTTTCCCTCATTGATTTACTAGAAAAACCAAGTTATTTAATTCAAATGATATTCCATATCCTGGATTTGGCTGCTTGCATCTTCATGATGTCATTTAACTTGTTCTTTTCCTTTCTTTTTATTAACAATATTCCATGTTTCTGTAAATTGCTATTTGTACTTAGAGGCTTGATTTAATTCATGTTTAATGTTTTAGGCAATAATACTTCATGGGGATGTTATATACTTCCATTGCAATACAACACGAAACATTTAATGTCTTGTCCCACCATAATTAATATCTCGAGTGAGTGGATATTATTCAGTAGGTTTATTCAGCCCGATCCTCCATTATAAAGTTCACAAAGTTCACCATCACCCTTTTATATAATGGTTTTAGCATCAATGTTATAGCCTTCACCCATTATTTTATTTGGTGTAGCAACATGGTGATGTTTCTAATCCTGGCATTACTTTTGCTATTTGTGGTTGTTGTTATTTAGTTCGTTTATTTATATTTTAACAGTTTTTTTGAGGTATTCTTAACATACAATAAAATGCACACATTTAAGTGCACAATTTAGTTTTGACATATTTATATAACCATATATTATTATTTTACACTACTAAATATTATATATTAATAACTGAATTCATCTATAAAGAAGAATTTTCTATCATCAACTGATTATCCCAAATACAATTCATACAGGAAAAGGCAAGATAAATGTTTAACTCTTTCTCTTAATTTATCAATTAATGGCTAATGAGGTAGTGCCCTGGAAATATCCAGTGGTGATAATTCAGGGGTTTTATTAATTCTTTTTTTTTTTTTTTTTTGGTGGGGCTTTGGAAAGGTGGTATTATTAACTCATGGATTTTTATATATTTACAATGTTTCAATCAATTACAGTCACTGTTCTTTTATTGATGCTCATATTGTCCATTTTAGGCTTATGGAAGCCCCTTTAAGTTGGATCTTTATCTTTTTGATATAATTACAGTAGACTTTGATACTTCTTTGTTTTTTGGCATAACAAGATGTCATAGATTCAGCTCATGTATTTCCTACCATGGCTCTGCAATCAATCATTTTTCTGGTTCTTTTTAGGAGGGAATGCCATATAGAATTACGAGTTATTTTTTAAAAAAATCTTTCTAGAATTATATATATTGGTTCAGTTACTAATAATATACACTAATAACATACATTATTGGGATAATGCTTTTTATATCAATTGTCTAGGCTAGTAGTGTTTAGTTATGTCTTTTTTATATAAGAGCTAAATAATAATCTGTGGTGGTTTCAAGTAACATTATTCTATTTTTCCTATTAGCTTTACTAATGTGAGCTATACATATTTACCACAAAAACTATTCAGAAAGGGCATTGGGGCCAACAAATCAGGAGACCTGAGGACTCAGGCTCACTCTGCAGCTGATGTGAACTTGAGTAAGTAAGTGGGTCTTTCTTTATGTTTCTGACTCTTTGCCTACATAGGCAGGGTAGAGGCAATGACCTGTCTCTGTGGATGGCCAGCAGCTGTGTATGCTACTTGATATTTATCACCCATTTGGCATCAACACCTGTGATCTTAGCCAGAGAAGCGAAGGCAGCCAAGAGAGGACTATAAAAGGGGCCAGATAAATTAGGGACACGTGTTCACTTCCATTTTCCAGACCCAGAAGAGGACGAGGGGAAGGAGAGAGTGTGAGCCTTAAGCTGGAATTGAAATTCAAGTTTTAAACCAGACTTTTTAATATGTGACAGTTACTGGAAAGACATACATTCTACCCAAAATGTTGGTAAGGAATGGGAAGAGAGATTCAACAAAGCCTTGTCAAAGGCAGTCACAGGAGAAAGCTAAAATCATTTGAGTTTGTAGTTCATAATGTGCAATAAACTGGATATATATTTGGTAACCATAATGGGAGAAGTTAAATTTTTATACATCAGTACAATAAATAGAGATCCTGGAATAGAAAATTTAGACGGAATTTCTGTGAGCTAGATGTTGACAAACCACTCGCCCCACTCAGGCTGTTTCTGCAATTCAGTTATGGTCCACTAGGTGGTAGCAGATATCTTGGCTGACATCCACAATGCGCTCAAATTATAATTTTCTATATAAATTCCATTGTAGATTTTAACTGTATATTTTCCAAGTAAAAATTAAAAAACATTCTTTGGTATTTTCATAAAAACTTTAAATTATTAAGTATTATTTTAACACAAATAGAAATAGGTATTGAGTAATCATATTTTTAAAAATTTCTGAAAGGCAAATTATATAACAATATTTTTTATTCTACGGCTGGCTAATCCTGTTCTTGCCTCTGGACTGACTAGAATGCTACTCCTTAATTCTCTCTGACGTTCTCTTGTATGCCAATATGAAATGGCTGCTGTAGATTTGCAACTTCAGTCAAACTTGATAACACACATTTCTTGAAGTTTCCTTCTGCTACTGGTCATAGGATGTGGGGGGTGGGGTTTAGGGAAAAATTTTTATGCCTGCCTTCTTTTACTTATCCATAAGTTTCTATTTATTATATTCAGAGTTTCACTTTTATCCTTTCTGTTTGCAAAATCAAGAAATGAAAATCTGACTTGCTGAGAACAAAAATCCCCATTCCACCAACTTAAGCTTTCTTCAATTAGAGGGCAGTAATTTCCCACTGATTCATAGAAGAACATCACTTTTTTCCCTGCGAGCTTTCTAACTGGAAATTTATTTAACCTATTTTCCATAAGATGGTAATTATCTTGTCATAAATCTGAGTTGCTACAAATAGCTTTAGTAAGTTCTATGCATAGAGAGCATTTTAAAGCCAAAATGTAAATTTTTTTTTTTTTTTTTTTTAGAGACAATCTTCCTCTGTCATCCATGCTGGAGTGCAGGCAGCAGTGTGCAATTATAGCTCACAGCAACCTCAAACTCCTGGGCTCAAGTGATCCTCCTGCCTCAGCCTCTCAAGAAGCTGGGACTACAGGCATGCATGAACACGCCGAACTAACTTTTTTAATTTTTAAAATTTTTTGGTAGAGACAAGGTCTCACTATGTTGCCCAAGCTGGTGTTGGGCTCTTGCCTTAGCCTCCCAAAGTGCTGGGATTATAGGTATGAGCCACTGCACCCAGTCCCAAAATATAAAGCTTCTGAGCAAAAGTTTAATAAACATTTATAAACAGCTTTTAAAAGAAAATGTCCCCAACTTTTTGTTACCAAATTTCTAAACATTCAGAAACATAGTGTGACAAAGACCCCTGTATACCACTCAGGTTAAACAATTATTAACATTTTGCCATATATTTGAATATAAATTTGTATCTATATTGTTTTGTGTAAAACATTTAAAAAGTGAATTGTAGATATTGTGACCATTATCACACAAAACTGTTCAGCATGCATCCCCTAAAAAAAAAAGGACGTTCCCCTACATAACTACACTATCACCCCTAAGAAAACTAAAAATACTTCTTTCATTTCATCTAAAAACCAATCCATATTCACATTTCCCAAATTTTGCCCCTACTCAAATTTCACACATTCCACTTGGTTGTTATGGTTCTTTAGACTCTTAGAATCTAGAAAGGCCTTTTAAAAAAATATAAATGATGATACTGACTTTTTGAAGAGACCAGGACAGTTGTCCTACAGAAGGTCAGTATTTGGATTTGCCTGATTTTCTTTGTAGTGTCATTTAGTCCTAAGAGCACATTGTCAAGTTAATTTCATGACAACCAATTCCTATTACCATGTGAAAGTTTTCAGAAGCTACAGTGGTTTGAACCCATAAAATCTCTGTGGTCTGAAAAGGACCTGACTCTCTCATGGTTCAGGAAGACTTGCAACCGTACAATGTCAGTGCAGAACCACCCCACACCCCCTGACACATTAGAGAACTGAGACCCAGAAAGGGTAAGTGTAATGGCGTCTCTCTCTTTGCTGCTGTAAAAATTTACCACAAACTTAGCAGCTTAAAATAACACAAATTTGTAGTCTTACAGTTCTGGAGGTCAGAAGTCCAAAACGAGTCTCACTGGGTTAAATTCAAGGTATTGGCAGGGCCACATTTCTTTCTGGAAACTCTAAGGGAAAATTTGTTCCTTGCTTTTTCTAGCTTTTTAGAGGCCACCTGTGTTCACTGGCTTATTTATGGTCACTTCCTCCATCTTCAAAGCCAGCAGCGTAGCATCTTCAAATCTCTCTCTGATGCTAACCCTGACTCTCCTGCCTCCCTCTTCCACCTTTAAGGACCCTTCAGTTATTAGGGGCTGCCTGAGAAATCCAGGATGTTCTCCCTATCTCAAGGTCAGCTAATTATCGATCTTAGTTCCATATGCAACTAATTCCCTCTTGCCATGTAATATATCATGTTTACAGGTTCCAGGGATAGGGATGCAGACCTCTTTGGAGGCCATTATTCTGCCTTCTGCAGTAGGTGACCTGGCAAAGACTGTTCTGCAAATGACTCCCAAGCATCCTGTAAGACACTGCAACCTCATATTAATATGTTTGTTTGTTTCCCAGTGGAGTTCAGTAAAAGGTGATCCTATATTGAACACGGTTAAAGAGGGTTTAATAATAATTTTTAAAAAAAGGCATTAAAAGAATTTTATTACAAAAATCACCTTCTTATAAGCAGATCCACAATTTGGTTCTGGAAGATAATGCCAATTCGTGTATCTCATATATCTGAAGTCAAATTGTTTTACTTGCTCATTTTGCTAAGGAAGTTGAGTGTTTTCTTTGACTATAATTAGAAAATCCAAATAACTTTAATCTTATAATTCACTTCTACTCAACATCTTAAATTCTACTGTCTTCTTCCATCACTTTAAGGTGCAGTAAAAGGATCCAAGAATGTAGAAAAGTCACACATACTTCCTCGTGGGTTATCTGTTCAAATCAGACCCGAGATGAATCATGCCATCGGCGCCCAGACTTGTTGGGTGTCAAGACTTAACACTTTACTAAGGGGTAAATCTCTCTGTGGTCTTGGACCCATTCAAAGCCCACAAGGCCCTCTGGGTGCTGACCTTTTGTTATGATGATTCCTGTAACCACCAATGTTACATAGAACTTTTTGGTTTTGGCACAAATTAGTATTTTTCCTAGATCACACTCATTGACATCTCATTAAATGTAATATAATTTGTCCCACTCATGTTGGTGGTGTTTTTCTAAAGTGGCAAATGAAAACTGTTGGATATCACTGATCAGGTGGGGAAATCCACTTTTTTGGGGAAGGGCAAATCAGGAGGTTTTACTTACTAGAAGTGAAATGTTTTACATTAGTGATGTTAGATGACTTATTGGGGTATCAGACAAGGTAAGAAGGAAGAAATTACAGAGTCTTGAACACACAACAGGAAGTTGAGCCAAGAAAATAGCAAAAGTTTCACCGCATGTATCAGAGGGTTCGGTTCAACCCTGAAGCTCTGAAATGTATACTCTTGGGTGCCCTGATAATGAGGCCTGCTCTGGAAGGATATTATCGTGGGAAAGGTCACAGCCCTCATCCTGGGGGAAGGTCTGGAAGGAGTTTGGGAGAGGCTTGGGCAGCGGACCAAGGACGTGATCTTGAGAGCATAGTCTTGAATTAGAAATAATAGTTATTGAAGAAAAACCTTATCCAAACACTAGTTAAGACAATCAGGCAGACTTTATTCAAGGGGTGCCATAGCAACAGGTGTAGGGACCACTGCCACGGGGTCTTGCCAATCAGACGCAACTCTGACTCAGACAAGGACAAGTGGGAATTTATTACCTAAGGACAGGGAGGGGGCAGTAGGTGCAAAATTACTGAGAGGAAACATCCGAGATGAGGGGTTTCTGGCCAACTGACTTGCCAGGATTATTGCTGCAGGCAGGCCAGGGTGGTAAGATATTTTGGGTGGTCAGACACCTAGGGTGAGGGGTTTTCCCTAAAATGACTTAACAGGACTCTTGCTCAAACTAGATTTAACAAGAACAGAGAGGGAAGCCCAAGGTTTGGCCTAGTTGAGCCAGGGACTCAGAGGAGCCTGACTAAAATTTTGGTCAAAGGAGAGTTTTTGTCCCAGTGATTAATTGAATAAGCATATGAGCTCAAGAGCATCTTGGCTCTTCGGCTGTGTTGATCTCCCACTAAACCGAGTGTCTTTGTGTGTCTGCACTGCGTCACTGATTCCACCAGTGGCCACTGCTACCTGGGAAAGAATCCCTGGGCAATGGGAATTTAGAGCTTATTTCTCTGAATGTTCTTAGATTCTGTTCAAGAGGGCTGCCTCTGGGAGGCCAAGGTGGGTGGATCACTCAAGGTCAGGAGTTCGAGACCAGCCTGAGCAAGAGTGAGACCGTCTCTACTAAAAAAATCGAAGAAATTATCTGGACAACTAAAAAAAAAAAAAAAATATATATATATATATACTACACAGCAATACGGGCATCCGGTGTGTGTACCCTGTAGTCCCAGCTACTTGGGAGGCTGAGGCAGGAGGATGGCTTGAGCCCAGGAGTTTGAGGTTGCTATGGGCTAGGTTGATACCACGGCACTCTGGCCCAGGCAACAGAGCCAGAATCTGTTTCAAAAACAAAAAGAGGGCTGCCTGGAGGGGTAAGCAGAAGCTAGACATATTGAGGGATGCTTAGAAGTGAGGAGAGTCCATCACCCCCATCAAGGAACCTGCAGGAGAGCGTTCTCCAAAAATGGAGGGGTCTCCAAAGAACACACGAGAAAACCCACAGGCAAAACAGTCAGTTCTAACCACTGCTGGGCTCCAGTCATCATGGTGGCGACTTTCTTGCCCAACTTATGTCTCTTCCTCCCTGTGCCCCAACCTTGGAGCATTTAGCTGACCACACCCACTTCCCTGACTACAGGCTTGTCCCTCTGCAGGAGGCCTGAGCTGAGCAAGGGGAGGAGGCCCCAGTGAAACCATGGTCAAAGTTCTGACTATCACATGAAACTCTGCATTTTAATTACTGATTAGGAACTTGCACCACCTAAGAGTTACCAGAACAGAAACGAACTCAAGCTTTTCCTTTAGCAGCAGGAAAATCAGCTTCATGAAGCAGAACTAGTTGGAGAGTGAGAGAAAGAAAGGAAGGTGCTTTGCTTGCTCAATATGATTGTTCCAGTTTTGACTGTCCAGGTTGGGGATGTCTGGCACCTGTCGTTAACATGGTGGGAGAGAGGAGGGGGGTGGTGAGACCAGGGAAAAGGAGACATTAAACAATGCTAATCGAGTCTTGTCTGTTTTATATTTGGTTTAAAGTTTACTCACCACATCTGCATAACAAAGAGGGTGATTTGAAAAATTATTCTTTGAGTGTTTTACCTTCCAGCTTTATCACAGGTCACTCAATATTGGTTAGGATGTGGGAAATGGATTAGCACTCTCCATAGCTTGTCCAATGAGGAATTCTGCTGGATTTAGCTCAGAAGACTGCAACTGACTTCATCTAATCTCCTGTCCAGTAGAATCTTGGCTTTGTTAGTCCTTAAGTCGCAGTTAAAACACCTCCAATGAGGGTATGTTTCTTCCTCACTCCCTTCTTCCCTCCCTTCTTCCCTTCTTTTCTCCTTCTTTTTTTCAGTGAAGTTAACTTAAAAAAAAAAAAAAAGAAACAAATGAGCAGTAAGCTCTATTTTCCTCTCTCATATTCCCTCTTCTTCCTTTTCAGTGAAATTTCATCCATGTTATCCTGTGTGGCCATCCTATTCTGTGTCTGGCCCTCTTCCTTAACCCTTTGCACTTGGATGTCAAGTGTGACTCGACACGGTTAGCAAAAATTATAGAGATTAAAATTACTCTTTGAATGTATCAATAATTTGAAATATAAAAAAATCCAAATAAATAAGTTTGTATGAAAAGAAACTCCAGTTTTTTATTCTACCTCCGCGCTTTGTAAAATCTGGGGCATTTAAAAAATT